CGCAGCGATCATTTCGCTGTAATGGCAGCGCAGCAGATCCACCGTTGTAATGCACTTCTATGCCCACGCCCTCGAAGTCCCGAGCTTTTGCGACCCTGCACTGAGCAGCGTGGCGACGACGTACGGTCGAATAGCCCCCCCCCCCCATGACCCACGTGCCGTTGGGGAGGAACCCATCCAGCAGTGGAGTGCCACGGGGGCTAAGTACGTAAACTTGTACCCGTGTTCCTTACGAATACAAACGCAGACGCACCCTTGTTTCACGGCTCCGTATAATCACAACAAAGATTCCGTCTTCTAAATGCCGTCTTCTCTTACTGGCCATCTGTGAACAAGAACTTCATAGCTCATCGGATTCCTCCAGTGTAAATACATAGTCTGGTTCTGAAATACTGAGCCGAGGATTAAGTCAGGGTTGCCACGCACCACCATATTCATACTCTACACGTATAGCCTTTTATTATAAATCTACTGCTGGATGAAGGCCTCCCCACACCTTTCAGTCATTGTAGGTGTTTGATCATACTTAACCACAGCGGTCTCTGCGGGTTGGTGAAACTATGAAACTAAAACAATTAAAACTATTTTTATTTTACCAGTTAAGCCCCACACTGAGCTATATAGCTCTTTTTTAGAAGCAACCTGGCCACAAATTATAGCCCAACAAAGTGGCTTCTCATTTGGAAATTTGGAGCAGCCAAACTCTAAACGCACGTCGATTCTAAATGTGGAAGGAAAAACCGGAGGACCCGGAGAAAAATCCACACGACCACGGGGAGAGGGACATGCAAACTCCAAATATGTAGGCGTCAGGGTCGGGATCGAACCCACGACCTCCTGTATACTAAGCGAGGTAGTTAACATCTCGTCACCGCGGCGAGATCGGTTTGGAGACGGCTCGCTGCCGACGTTATCCGCGGCCAGAGATCGGAACTCGGCTCTCACCGGACTCATCGCATAAGGCCGCGAACCACCGCCTCTCCCCCTCCGCATATTGCACATCACAACACGCACAGTAATCGCACACGCACACACACAGCACGGTATTGACACAGGTTTACAAGGCGGCGATGCCTCTCCTAACGCGGCACGACAGAGCTTCGGCTGCCGCTCAGGTCTTTCTGCTGCCCCTTGTATTTGCAATAGCTCACACCTGTGTACACATGCGCGCGCACACACACACACACACCCACACCTGTGTGCAGCAGGCAGCGTCGTAGGAAACACGACAGTCAGCGACCGATGCCCTAGCGTTCGCGTATGAGTGAGCGAACGTGCGATGGAGCGAGTGTGCAAGTGAGCGAGTGTGCGATGGAGCGAGTGTGCGATAGAGCGAATGTGCGGTGCGTGTGACCGAGTGTGGGTTCATACGTGTAGGCAGTGAGCGGGCGGCTGTTTAGATTCCTCTCTCTCCGTGTGACTTCTCGTTTTTTTCCTTACCCCCCCCCCCCCACCCGAGCTAATCTCGCGTCCACAGTCGCGCGATCGGTTTCCTGTCGAGTTCCTCACAGTGCGAGGCGACGGCGGTGGAGGGACTGCCAAGGGACCGTGGCACTTTCAGCCCAGCGGGCCCCGTCCAGTGTGCCGGGACACGACCCAGGACGGGGAGACGAGGCCATCGCTGGCCGCTGTGCCGCACCGCCTCGCGAGCCCCTGCTCAATCTCAGCGGCTGCTCGAACCCTCTCCTAAACCGCCGATGGCGCTGTCGCCATCGCGTCACCAGATGGGGACTCCGTTCCGATCTCTCGCGCAGCAGCCACGAGCCTTCTTGTTGAGAGAGCGGCCCGCGGAAAGTAGATATTGTGGAGCTGCCTCCGACATCCGTTCTGGTCTACGAAGGAGAGGGCGGCACTTTGGTGTTGGTCTCTGGGCTTGCTTCACCGCACGTCAGCGCGCTCGTTCTTGCGCGATGGTCCCGGGGACCAGCTCACGTAATCACCACTGGTGTGAGCCGCGGTGGGGAATTGAACCGAGCTCGCCAGATTCAGTGCATCGCGCTCACCACCCCATCCCAAAAATGACGGTGCACCTTCAATTACCCAGGAAAACATCTTGAGGCTCTTTTGCAGGAGGATCCTGCGACATCGGCGTTTCTGGCCAATTCATCCGTGAGTCTGGCTTCACGTCAGAGCAAACCGGACGGAGTAAGAGACAAAATCTCCGCACAGATACATTCAATAATAATCCATTGCTGTACCCGTGCCTCGTCGCCACCCCGCAGCTCTGGGAGACCTCGGCAGCTTCAGCCCGCAACCTCACCGCACGTTACACCGCGAAAAAAAAACGAACGTGTACAGTGACCTATGGGTCGTGAAGGGACCGCATCGGGCATGCCAACCACCAGCGGCGCGCACGGGCGCAGCAGTAAACATTTCCGAATGTATTGCGGAGGGAAGCCCCAGTACGCACGCGGAAGAGAGAAGCACCTCCCGACCGGTCCAGGGCTCGCGAGCCGCGGTTGACACGGCGACGCATTGCGAGGGATCGGTGCTGGTTCAGGGCAGCAGAGTGGTTGCGCCAGTGGCAATGCTCGTGCCTCGCAGCAAGACGCGCCTGGGTTCGATTCCCGACCCGGGCCACCTTTCTGCGTGAAGTTATGTACGTTCTCCCCCTGATATCCACAATGCAACTGGCTTTGGCCAAAAACATCCTCATTGCTGAAAACTCACACTGAAAAGACTCAATTTGGGTTTAAACACAGCAGCAACATCGCACCCTCCCCCCCTCCCACGACGAAAATTTGGCAAGACCCTCTTGAAAAAGCGTCGAGACTCAGTGAGGATCTCCTGAAGGGTTAACATGTGCAATAATAATAATAACAGCGGTGTCCTATTACCAACACAGCCATAGACACCACAGTGACACACATTCCAGCCAGCACTGTACATGTACACGTACAGTTCTATGTCACTCCACTGCTGGATGAGTGCCTTCCCACACACCATTCGGGTCGTGGGGGAAGGGGTGATTGTTATACAATACTGCACCGTGCTAGTCCGTGCGAGTTGGTGAAGGGATAGAGCAGAGATGCGGGAGCATAGAAGTACAGTACAGCGATTAACCTTGCTGCCCTCCGCTGCCCAACAGGTAGCCCCGCATGCCCCACGACAAAGTGATTGCGCGTGGCGGTGGTCACGCACGCAAGCGCTAGCCAGGCTCAACCCCGCTTAGAAGCTTGAGAGCTCATTCCTCCAGAATGAATAATCTGATGCCGGTAGCTTGCAAGGTCTGACGGGATTGTGCGCGTTTCTGAGTGACCCGGTCGCAAGTTCAAGCCTAACAGCCGCTCCCCTATGTAAATGCTGAATCTTGTTGGGTGACGGAGGGTTTAAAGATGAGAATTTCGGCATGAAACCCACTGCGTGGCCCAGCCCCAAACGCAAACGTGGGGATGTTTGTTTTAGTTCCGTAATCGCGAATTGTGGTGGAGCGGAGGTGCGGCCGTCAGTGCCACGTGAGTTTTGGTTCCCGGCCACGGCAAACATCGGCGGCGAGGACGAACCGAGCCGGTTCACGACGCGACTGCCGCCACGTCGGCGTGGACGAGAGCGCAACGAGTGACGGGCACGTTCGCGCTCTCGCGTTTCGTATAAAAAAATATACACGGGTACCTTTGCGCCCTCCAGTTGCATCGCACGGAATATTGCATTTGATCAATGAAGATCTGGCGGGCAGGTCGTAACGTCACGTTTACAAACGTATTATTTTGTACGTGCAAATGTATTGACCAAGTTCTGACCAATAACACTCCTCCGACTCCACAGCGGTGGCTTGGGACTTTGCGCGGCCGAATCCGACGTCAAACTCGCGTCGACGTTTTGCCCAAATCGCTTCGCGCTCCGTGCCAGCAGCGGTCGTTTAATTGGCTCCGAGTAGCTGCGTTCTCAAAATAACACCGCAAAGCAAAGCCTGCTCTGGCACCGGTCCTGCAGAAGCCACACCTTACTCGGGGAATTTTGCAAAGCGTGACCCCACCCATGCCTCACCTGGGGCTGCCGCAGCGGGGACGAGGACACCACACACACGCGCCCCAATGTACAGTGCAGCGCGCACGTACGTACTCACGCATGCATGCACGCACCAGCACCGCCAGTGAGTCACTAAACTTGAATTTACAAACAGCGACATTGAAACTAGTGGAGAAATGTTTCTGCTAAATCGTCACTCAGATATTCCTCCACCTCCTCCGCCTCCTCCGCATGAATCCAAACCCCAACCACAAGCACCAAGCCCAACAGCTCCACTTGCCAGTAAGGTTTGGGTGATAGTGATTGTTATGGCGAGGGTGATGGAGGGGTGATGGCGAGGGTGTTCTCACCATGGAGGAGGCTTGTGAAGCACTCTACTAGGCAGTTGGAGGCAGTCGCCCTCCAACAAGAGTGGAGAGCAGAGAAGTGAAGCTCACAACAACGGGCGGTGTACCGGGCGGCTAATATACAGCAAGGTGGCACAGTAGGGAGCACATGTGGGATATTTGCCAATCATCTCGGTCAAGCCATGTCCCCTGGGCCTGTCCTGTGACTTGCTGCCAGCAGCGAGCCTTCAACACTTCACGTGGCCTCAAGGTGCACCTAGTTTGGCACAAGTGCCATGGTGACATAGCTGCAACTTAATGGCAAACGGCGGTTGCTGTTGTTGATGGTGAGGGTGACTGATGGTAGGGGTGATGGATCAACGATTTGGAGGTGAGGTCCAGAGGAGAATGCTGATGATTCTGATGACAATGTGGGCAGCGGGCAGTGATGCAGGGTGCTGGGTGACAGTCCAAATGATCATGATGATGGGAATTTGGTTGATGAGGCAAGGGTCTGATGATGCTCATGAGGCTCAGGTGAAGGTAGGCGACGAGAGGGGCTGATCGTGACGACGACGATGATGACGACAACGACAGCGACGATGGCGGCGTGCGTGTCGGCGGGAGGTGCAGAAGGTTTGCTGCTTCTGTCCCAGCCCCACCGCGAGGCAGCGAGACGTTGGCCCAAGAGAGCCGCACACTGACCTGCGGCCGCGTTCGCTCCACAACACCGAGTCGCAGCCACGTGCGGCTAGGAGCAGGAGGAGCAGGAGGAGCAGCAGGAGGAGGAGGAGGCGCCGAGCACGAGCACCTGGGGACGAGACGCCGCCACCGTTAAAACACACACGGCGGCAATCGCACTACCCACAAGCCCCACACGAGCCTCTCCGCATTTGTCGAACACCCCGAGAGTCGTTTGCGAGGCTTTCCTGCGCAGGTTTGGATTTTATTTATTTTGGCAGCAAGGGCCCAATGAGCTCCTAGCCTCTATTTCACGGGTGTCTTGCGCGGTACAGGTCACGGTTACAATCGTGGCTTCATAGGGCAAGATACAAACGACCCGTATCGGTACGTGCTTTGCATGTTACAGGAATAGGGAACCGGTCGAAAACGTGATAAAATATGACAACAATCTTTTATTTATTTATCTAAGTAAATGGATTTATTTTTTTATTTCCTAGCAGTCCGCGTGTACTTTGGACGTGTCCGTGCGACGTTTCCTCCCCAGCCAATGAGCGATTTTTTCAAAATATATATGCATATATGTTGAACTTTTTTCGCACCGTACGTAGCCAACCACGCCAATCGGAGGTGCGATAGCATGATGGCGTATTCCCACGGATTTTGCGCGGGACACACGGCCGGGGTGGAGGGGGGAGTGGATCAGGGTGGAGGGATCGGAGGGGAGGGAGGGAGGGAGTTGGGGACGAGACATCAGCACACACGAACCCGACTCGGGGGTGCAGGTGACGTCACATCGCGCAGATTTGCGCTGTGACGTCACCACCACGCACGCGGGCCTGCCAGGAATCCAGCCAGGAATCCAGCCAGCAACACTTTTCATGTAGTATGACATGATAGTGACCATTATTGTCGTCATTTGATCAATTAGTTGTTTTTTTTAGGGGCAAAGACACGTTACCGAATATTAATGCACACAGTGGTGGCCACACGCGTCTGGCGAAATCACCGGGAACGCACCCAGTCTCGTCGCATCTCAGAATCTAAGCGAGTTTGTGCCTGCTTCGTGCTTTGACGGCCGATGCCTACCTGGGGATTGCCAGGTGTTGCAGAAATATTGCTGCGAGGTGGCCACGAGACGGTGGTAGAGCAATGGATACTTACGTCGATCTGTGTGGAGCTTTTAATGTTATCACCTTGCACGTGCGGGTTTTCCCTGGGTGTTCTGGGTTTTTCCTCGGTTGATATTGGCCAATCTTGAGACTCGATTACATGTTTTTTTTTTGTTGCTGGATGAAGGCTGTTGGATGCCAATGAGCTGTGCAACGTGAATGTTATTTTATTAATGCGTCGAGGAAGCGGTGATGGCGGTTAGCACATTGCGCTGTAAGCCCAGCGAAACAGGGTTCAATCCCAGGTCGCGGCGAACGTCACTGGCAACAGACACGAGCCGAGCGTGACGACGCAATGGTCAAACAATGCCCGTCACTGATACGGCGTGGGGGCAGCCCTTCATCAGGCGGTGGACAAAGGGCTGCACACGCTACTCCCTATTAAGTTCAACGCACAAATACATGTGCACATAAATGGCGGTGCGTCGGTGGGAGGTGAATAGTGAATTATCAGGGCATAGAGCTCCCTGCTACTTGCATAAGAAATGTCTTTCAGCTTCATCATCAGACGTGATCCATACCCTGCTGGCTTAACAATATCCATACCCTGCAAAAGGGGAGGAAATTGGAGAAGACCAATGCTGAACGAGAAAGAGCAGTGAAGCTTCGAATGTGGAGCTCTCTCCACCCTCTTAACGCGCCGCACCTCGACACGGCGGATAGGAAATGCGCACCTGTGCGGGGGCCCACGTATGCAAACACGCAATACTCGTCCTTACCTGGCCAAGGCAATAACGCAAATATTCCCCCATATAGCCCTCACCAGACTTTTGGGGCAGGTGCTGTTAGCGAGCACCTATGAAGGAAGGTACGGCACACGAGGGGGTGGTGGTGGGTGGCCAACACCACGTCCCGCTGCCTTTGAATGATTTTTGACCCCCCCCCCCTCCTCGTCACACGGCGTCACAAAAATTCAGACCCCCCCCCTGAACAAAGCTCTGCCCCCCCCCCCCAAAATCGATTTAAACTATTGTCATTGTAGTGCGTATTTAATGTGTCGCTGCACTCTGATGTTGTAGGAGAAAACATTTATTAAAAAGTCTATTTAATTAAGTAGAACGTGTTGTCTATATTTATTTAAAATTGCGCATTTTTATGTGACATCACATTAATCAACCCCCCCCCCCCCCCCATCGTCACACATCGTCATAAATGTCTGACCCCACCCCCCCTAGGTGGGTGACGTCATTTATGGACGGCCCCTTTGTCTCCTCAGTGCTAATGTTTTCATACCGCGCCAAATATTATTTTACGGCTGAGTCGACCAAGGGGTGGCCAAGCACCAGTTCCTACATTCACCACTATGATTGGTCATGAGCGAGAGTCAAACTCGGGTCGCTGGGTTTATAGCGCAGTGCTGACTTGGCAAGCGCACACACATTACCTGTATGGTAGCCAGGTAAACACACACCTGTACAGCCAGCAAAGTCAACTCTAGTGTGGGGGTCACATGGACTCACACCTGTGCTTGGTACAAATAAACACACACCTGAGTAAAAACCCACACACACCTAGACTATAACCCATACTAACACACACCTGAGCGTGACCCATACTAACACACCCCTGACCCATACTAACACACACCTGAGTTTCACCCATACTAACACACACCTGAGTCGGACCCATGCTAACACACTCCTGAGTTTCACCCATACTAACACACACCTGACCCATACTAACACACCCCTGACCCATACTAACACACACCTGAGTCTGACCCATGCTAACACACTCCTGAGTTTCACCCATACTAACACACACCTGACCCATACTAACACACCCCTGACCCATACTAACACACACCTGAGTCTGACCCATGCTAAAACACTCCTGAGTTTCACCCATACTAACACACCCCTGACCCATGCTAACACACTCCTGAGTTTCACCCATACTAACACACACCTGAGTTTCACCCATACTAACACACACCTGACCCATGCTAACACACTCCTGAGTTTCACCCATACTAACACACACCTGAGTTTCACCCATACTAACACACCCCTGACCCATGCTAACACACTCCTGAGTTTCACCCATACTAACACACCCCTGACCCATACTAACACACACCTGAGTTTCACCCATACTAACACACACCTGACCCATACTAACACACACCTGAGTTTCACCCATACTAACACACACCTGAGTTTCACCCATACTCACACCTGAGTTTCACCCATACTAACACACACCTGAGTTTCACCCATACTAACACACACCTGGGTATGACCCATACTAACACACACCTGAGTTTCACCCATACTAACACACACCTGACCCATACTAACACACACCTGACCCATACTAACACACACCTGAGTCTGACCCATACTAACACACCCCTGGCCCATACTAACACACACCTGAGTTTCACCCATACTAACACACACCTGGGTATGACCCATACTAACACACCCCTGACCCATACTAACACACACCTGAGAATGATCCATACTAATACACACCTGAGTTTCACCCATATTAAAACACACCTGTATGGCCCAGTAAGCAGACACCCGTAACTAAAATACGACTGTAAGGAGCCCCAGAAAGCGACACCTGTATGGCGCTCAGGTAAAGACACACACCTGTAGGAGCCCAGCTACACACGCACCTGTACGGAGCTCTCCGTAAATGCACGCCTCTATGGAGCCGCGTTAATGCCACATTTGTATGGAACTCGGATAAAAACACACCTCTACTTTTCCAGCAAACTCGCACCTGTGTGTGCGCATGAAAACACCCATGTACAGGTCCACCTCTACTGCGCCTAGGTAAAGATCCGTAAGTAAAACACACCTCTACTGGGGTCAAGTAAGCACGCACCTGTATCGTCTACAGGAACACACACACCTGTGCTGAGCCCAGATAAGAACACATTGGTGCGAGATCCAGATAAGCTCACCCTTAATGCCTGCCAAGGTAGAGTCACACCCGTATGGGCCCGGATCTAAAGTCACACCCGTACGAGGTCTACCGACACAGGTAATCACGCGCCGATGTTACCCCAACACACACCTGTACGGAAACACCCACATCGCACACCTGCCCGCCGCCTCCCGTCTCGGAACCTAAACACATCCTCGGTTCGATCCCCTCCCTGCCACCGTCCGTCCATTCCTCCTCGCATCCACGGGGGGGGGAGAAAGCCGGGGCGGGTCTCGCTACCCATGGCTCCTCCATTGACGGTGGGCGATGCGGGGAGATCTCCGTGCAGGTAACAGCGGGGGGGGGGGGGGGCTGGTAGCGTTGATGGCGTGAAAGCGCGGACAGGAGGGGGGGGGCTTACCTGTAACCAGCTGAGAGAGGAGCCGCGAGACGGCGAGGAGAGCAGCTCGAGGATGGATGAGTCGAGGAGACGACGTCGGAAAGCCCCAGGCGGTCGTCACAAGCGGCCAGCCCGCCCGCCCTCGAAACCCGCCCTCTCAACCCGCCCTCCCCGGGGCACCGCGCGCCATGGCGGCCCGGGCGGTGCCGGCGTCACGGGGTCTCCTCCCACGCAGCCCGCACCCCGATCCGCGAAGGGGATGAGGGGGATGGGTGATAGGGGAGGGAGGGAGGGGGGGCAAGGCGATGGGGGGACGTTGGTGCTGGCTCCCCCCCACCCCCCCGCTGGCACGCACACGCCCCACTTCTTGGATTGGAATGGACAGCACCCTGCCGAGATGGGTGGCAGTTTTTTTGGCAGGGTGCGCTGGCTCCGAGGCGCTGGCTCCGAGGCGCTGGCTCCGAGGCGCTGGCTCCGAGGCGCTGGCTCCGAGGCGCTGGCTCCGAGGCGCTGGCTCCGAGGCGCTGGCTCCGAGGCGCTGGCTCCGAGGCGCTGGCTCCGAGGCGCTGGCTCCGAGGCGCTGGCTCCGAGGCGCTGGCTCCGAGGCGCTGGCTCCGAGGCGCTGGCTCCGAGGCGCTGGCTCCGAGGCGCTGGCTCCGAGGCGCTGGCTCCGAGGCGCTGGCTCCGAGGCGCTGCTGGATGCGGTGTAAGTTCTGGATCAAGGATGATGGGCAAGGTGTTCAAAGTGATGGGTGAGGTGTGTGGGTGAGGGAGGCGTCCTGGGTGGTGTGGGGTCTACAAGGTATGAGGGGCGCAGAGTCCATGGTGCGGAGCGAGGTTTTAAGGTGCTGGGTACAAGGTTCATGGTGCTGGATCGCAGGTACTATGTGAGTTGCCAAAATTGGTGGTTGTTGGCTTTCGGATCCAGGCAGGGTGCTCAGTCAAGTGTCTAGAGGGTTTCTGGTGCAGCGTCTAAGGTGCCTGGGGGTTGGCTGAGGTGCAGGCTGCTCGTTGTTTGCTGCGATAACCAATGCTGGCTGGGGTTGTGGTACAAGTTCATGGGTACCACAAGGGATAAATGTTATAAATCACAGGGCTTTAATTGTTTTTTTTTACCCTTCTATCTGGCAACAAAACTGACACCTTTTTACAAGGAGTCATGTTTGCATAGACCACAATACCTGCAGTCATAATACAAACAAAAGAACATAACTCTGATAATGTGCACTGTCCTTGAAGTTGATTGGTCCACACCCGAGACAGCTTTCCTGAGAGCCTAGTCTCACATGGGTTGGACCAGATGACGCCAAAAGGCGCACAACTCAAAGGCAATGCACCATCAGAGTATGAGAGCTCGGGGCAAGGTTCCCATAGCACAGGGCTTTGTTGTATATGTTGGGTATGAAAATTTGTTATGTTGTATGCGTGCGTGGGTGAAATTATTATGTTGTATATGTGGGTTATGAATATTCAGTGGAAATAATAATAATTAAATGAAATTTGGCCAAATGTGTAATTATCCGGAAATATGTTAATTTATGTAATTACGCACATTTTAATTATGCCAATTCGAGAGGTAATCGTATTAATTATGCGAGTGGGTGTAATTATGATAATGCAAGTCGTTATGATAACCAGACCCCGCCTCGGTGACGAGGGTGGGTTATCGATCGGAATAAGGCAATTAATCGTATGCAGTTATGCAGGTGTGGTGTAAGTATGCAAGATTAACTTAGATTAACTCGGCATCGTTGTCTAGGTTCGTCTCATTCTCGCTTTAACATTCCCAGAGTGTTTATTCGTGGTTATATTTTTAGGTCCCCAGTTCACCCCGTTATCGCTTTAACATTTACTGAGTATGTATTAGTGTGTTTATTAAGGTCACCAAGTTCAAATCTCAACGCAGAAGCAGATCTTATGCATAGATTTCAGGAAAGAATCACACAACCACTTCTGTATTGATCAATTTATTACTAATTCAACCTTAACTATGATATAGTATGCGAACTCTCAATCCCGGAACGTCAATACGGCATCAATACAGTATCATCAACGATTGTCTGATTTCACTTTGACAACGGCACATGGATCCCGCATAACGCGATGGTTCTTAGTGAGAGAGAGAGTCGTTAAAACATGCAAATATTATGCTAAGAAAACCTTAACGTTAATGAATGATTATACTCAATATTGTTCACGCAGTACCGCACTCCTTATTGATCATACGCAACCCTTATCACGTTGTTAACACCTTGGGTCACGGGACAGTTGAATATTCTGTAGAGGATGCGAGTACGTGCGGCGATTATGACTGAAGGATACTTGAAAGATTATACGGCGATAAAAAAAAAAAAACCAATCAAAACAGTTACTATTCTTAAAGGCACCAATCTCAACAGATACATCGGCAGGTTATCTGACAGCAGAACGGCTCGGAGTAAGGGCCTGCGACGGTGCTCCTTTTCCGAAGATCGTTATCTTATACCAAGTTTACTAATTGGGGACCAGATCACCTGATAAGGATCCGGTGGGCCACCACTCCCCACGTGAGCGTGGCTCGGCGGAAGGAGGTGCCAAGAATCAGTTCGTATTGATGGATCTGTTGGGAATTTATGCGATTAAGAGTACAGCCCACTAAATATTAAAGATAAAAATTAAGAATACTCTTATACGACGGAGGGCCATCCCTCGGTCTCGTTGTGATGCTTTCCAGCCACGGATGGCTTATGGGTTCGAGTGTTTTTGAGTGGTAAGAGTTGTCTTGAATATTCAGTGTTCGGAGTCGATTCTTTAGGTCAAACAGACGCCTGGTGGTCGTGTGGTGAGGGGGCGGTGCGCGTCATACGTATCAGTCGATCCCGTGGCGAATTGGTTCGGATGGCTGTTGATACGCTGTCGCAGTTCGGAACCCGGTCGGTAGGTGGCGCCCACAACTCGCTCGCAGCGTGCAGCTCTGGGTTGTCGCCGAATCGCGATGCTCACCACTCCGGTGGCAGCAGAGACCCCCGGTTCGGCAGAGGTTGACGAGCTGAAGATGAGTCGAGCCGACCCGCTGGTCGCAGCTCGCTCCTGAGTCGACCCTCCCGGTCGAGCTCGCTCCTGGGTCGACCCGCTGGTCGCCCTCGCTCCTGAGTCGACTCTCTGGTCGCACTCCTGAGTGGACCCGCTCTGGTCGCACTCGTTCCTGAGTCGACCCTCCCGGTCGAGCTTCTGAGTGGACCCTCCCGTCGCACTGGTTTCCAATGTTCAGGATCCGTTCCTTTATGCTGAAAAATCCCCCTGGATCCCGCCCACAAGGCGGGGCTTCCGATTTTTGCTGTGTCAGGATCTGTCCGTAGGCAGGTGTGTCCATGTGTGTGTCCGTATGTCCTTGTGTGCATCACTGACGGTATATTCCGTTGTCAACTCCCTCCATAAAACCCACGAGCAAACAACCAGATGTTACAATTGTCTCGAAGTCGTCTCTCTGTCTGGGTGCAATTTATCTCTTGTCTGGCCTTCTTCATGAACCCAAAACACAGACGTTACAAATCGTCTCATAGGCGTCTTTGTTCGTGTTGCACAACCTGGAGGGAGGGGCAACACTCTCTCCGACCCGGCGCACAAAGAAATGGTTAAAAGTTTTAAGTTAACATTTGTCCCTTACTATTTCACAGTTATGATTCTGTATGTAACCTAAGGTCTGTCGTTTCCCATCGTGGTTCCCGACCCAAGTGTAGGTGTTTCCCCGAGCGTACACACACTCCTATCCCGCGCTGCGGGGATACAAAGACGGCCGGGATCTCCCTTTCTCTCCGACCCTGGGTTTAACATTGTTTTTTTTTATTATGTATTTATATTCGACCTGGTGGTGATTCATCCCGTTATCCTGGCTTTTCCATAAGTTTTACTTTTGTCTTTTCATGCATATACTTATTACTATTAATTTATTTCCGATATCTTAGGTTAAGGGGTAAGTTTCTTGATCCTAGGAATTCGTATTCCTTGGTGCCTGGATGGTTATATAAGCGGAATATAGTTTACGGTGAATAGCGTTAACATTGATGTTATGTGCGATATTATGTATTGTGATGTCTTTAACTTAACTTGTTTGTCAGGGCTTTACTGACACGAAGTTGCATTCCATAGTCCGCAGTCTTTGCCCCACCCTATCTCTGCTCGCCGTTGTTGTTGCCTGCCGTTAATTCAAGGCCTCATTAATTTCCGTCCCTCCTGAGTAGGTGAGGGCGGTTGAACCTTGGAGTCAGTTCTGGTTTTTGTCTGCCTGCTTCTTCTTGTGTCCCCTGACCCCGGGAGTTATTATTCTACTTTATGGCCTGTCGAAGCCCCACTCGCTGTTGCTGGGCTGGTGTTGTTCCCGGCTTTTTGCTTACGTTTGCAGTTCGCCGTGCTCTTAATTTCCTTCCCTCGTCAACCTTATATCGACTATTCGCTCCTGTCTGGGTGCGATTCAATTTTGACTTAGGAAGGTTCTGATTGTCATATGCTTCGGGTCGAGTTGTATAGAAAGTATTGAAGTATGGAAATAACATTTCATATTGACTTAATAATGGTGATGGTTCAGTAGGCGTAACTTGTGGCCTGGTTTAATTGGAGTGGGTGTGAATATCAAACTTTAGCCTACCCTGTTGTTAAATTCCGACTTAACGTTACTTTAATAGCAATACAGAATAATTGAGCTTTTTGTCTTAACTAGGCGAATGCGAACTTCTGGTGACCCCGCAGCCTTGTTGTTCAGCTGGGTCTGCCTCCTTGAGAGATATACACCACTCTTATTCTCGTCTCACTGTGGTCATCCAACCTTCTGCTCTGGGAGTGTTATTCTTACTTTCAGGTCAAAGGCCCCCTCACATCCAGACGCGCAGGGTTGTTTACATCAGCTCCCCCCCTGTGCACGTGTTCTAACTAGCTCGGAATTCCTGAACACACAATCAGTGATGATTCCTGGCTTTCTGTGGTTGTGATTTAGACAAAGGCGCCTCTGTTTTCTTCCATTGCCTTTGAGTCGACACTGCCCTATTATTTGCCCATGTGCTGAGGTCATAGAATTCGTTTTGACTTCAGTAATATTAACATTCAGTATTGGATTAGCAAATGGGCAATGGTTCATTGATGTAGCTCGCAGCCTGGTCTCCAATTTGAGCGAGCGCGAGGATCGATAATTTAGCCTACTCTGTTGTTGAATTTCGAATTTTGACGTTACTTTAAAACCAT